TAAGGAACCAGCAGATCAAGTAGCTTTTGGAATAAAACACCAATTTTTTTAAAATTAAACACTATCTAAAGATTTGCATCGAAGCGTTTATTTTTGATAGTGATTTTAATCACTGTCAGATATCATTATACTTGATCCAACTATACCACGTCACAACTGTGCCGCGACCCCCCTGTGCTGGGTTTTTTTTACAATGACAATGTTTAAAAATATAAGGATATGATAGGTTTATGAATGAATAACCTATGGATATTTTTATGGTGGCTAAAAGCACCATTTCCCAGGTGCAAAAGCTTTTGCAAAACCACTGCACTCAATTTCTTCCCTAGTATATATTAGTTCAACTCTAATTGGCTGGTGGTAAACCAGCCCAAGTAATTGAGTATTAATTAATAAATATAACAAATTCTTTATTTCTTTATAAATGTACAAAATTAAAAATTAAGCACCAAATTTAGATAACCTTAAATTAAACTTTAGGTTTTAAATTGTAGTAATCTATGTCAATGTAATTTTCATTTATTCAATTCAATGTATAATTTTTATATAAATTAGTTCTAATTAATTATCGGTTTTTAACTAAAAATGCTATAACAAGTAGCTATACAGGGGATTAGTTTAACTCAATTTCTCGCAAAAGAAATACAATATTGAAAAAGAATTTTTAGTTTTTTTTTTTTTTTTAGTTACATATACTATATTATCATACTAATTACATTTTAAAATCTTTCCTCAAAACTTAAACGGGTTTGAACATTTTTTAAATGGCAATATACATATTAAACTAGCTTATAAAATAGAAAATAATTTAATTAAGAAAATAATCAATAACAACTTTTGATCCTGTCATTCAAAAATTATTAGTATTTTAATATATAGAATGGAGTAAAACGAGTAATCGGGTGGTTTATGAAAAATTGATCATCTGTATAATCAAGCCTATAAGTTAAGTATATTATCATCTTAATAGTGCATCCTTATTCATTTCTCTTTTTCTAGTTTTTTTATTTTTATAAAAATTTGTTAGGTTAGTTATTATAATACAGCATAAATTTTAAAACTTAGAAAGAATATCTAGATTT